AATTCTTTTCCTTTGTCAAAACTTGTCACATTTCACTTAAGCAATTCGGGAAAAATTGTAGAAATTTTCATAGAAATAAAGTTCAAAAATCTTCGAGAGGGCGAAATCAACAAAAGGAATTATGTGGCACTATTTCAAAAATTTCTAAATACCGTTGAGGTAGATTCTGGAAAAACGATTGCAGCTATAAAAAAACCGAAGCCGGATTTGAGTTCTAGAACTCGAAATCTACAAGAAAATTTATTTAGTTGAGTTCCGAAAATGTCAAAATTTTTGCGAAATTTGAAGAAGGGGGGACCGTTAAAAAAGTTGTTTAAAAATTATGAAAAAATTCAGGGACGTAGATCTCGACACGTTGATTCCAAAAATATAGCATGTTGATCGTCACGAAACAACATTTTCTAAAAAATCGCTGCGAAATGCGAATTTTTGAAAATTTCAAAAATCTCGAAATTTGAAAGGTCGATTCTAAAAAAACGGTTGCAGCTATCAAAAAACCGAAGCCGGATTTGAGTTCTAGAGCTAGCACGAAATAGACGAGTGTAGAAGGATATAAAGGGATATAGAAGCATATAGACTGATATATAAGAATACAGAAGGAAATAGACGGATGTAGAAAGATATAGATATAAATCCTGAGATAATTTCTGGTAAAATAGGCATCTCTCTGGATCGATCAGAGTACTCTCAAAAGTCTGTCTAAATAGAAGGATTTCCTCCATTATTACTGCTCGTAGAACAAAAATAAACACAGATTCGTAATCTCGGGAAAATTTCCGTTTAGATAGATGTTTGTCCGAATCGATAAAGAAGGCTATAGAAGGATCTAAACGATATAAAGTGATATAGAACGTTATATACATATTAGAAGGATATAGATGGATCTAGAAAGCTATGGAAGGAAATAGACTGACATAGAAGCATAGATTCGTGATACTGAGAAAATTTCCGACTAGATAGACGTCTCTCTAGGCCGATCAGAGTACTTTCAAAAGTCCGTTAAAATAGGGTATTTTCTTCTTTATTACTGCTCGTGGAGCAAAAATAACCACAGATTCGTAATCCTGAGAAAATTTCCGTTTAGATAGATGTTTGTCCAGATCGATAAAGAAGGCTATAGAAGGATCTAAATGATATAAAGTGATATAGAACGTTATAATTTTGATTAGATAGACGTCTTTCTGCACCGATTAAAGTGGTTAAAGTCCCTCAAAAAGGGGGGATTTTCTCCAATATAGAGGAAAAATAGGCACAGATTTGTAGTCCTGGGAAATTTTCCAACTAGATAGACAATTCTCTAAATCGATAAAGAAGAATATAGACGGATCTAAACGGACATAGAGTGAGATACAAATGTATAGACAGGTATAGAAGGATATAGAAGGAAACACCGATTTGTCATCCTGGAAAATTTCCCGATTAGATAGACGTTGCTCTGGATCGATAAAGAGAATTATAGATCTAAATGGATATAGAATGATATAGAAATATATAGGCAGATGTAGAGGAAAATAAAAGGATATAGAAGGATCTAGACGGACATAGAATGATACAGAAGTATATAGGCAGATATAGAAGAATATAGAAAGAAATAGACGGATATAAACGCACACATTCGTGATCCTGAGAAAATTTTTAAATAGATAGACGTTTTTCCCGATGGATAAAGAAAGCTATAGAAGGATCTAGACGGATATAGAATGTTATTGTTATGGATTAAAAGGATATAGACGGATATAGAAGTACAGATTCGTGTTCTTGAGAAAATTTTTGATTATATAGACGTTTTTCTGGACTGATTAAAGTGGTTTAAAAGTCCGTCAAAAAAGCTGAAATGTCTCCAATAATACTGCTCATAGAGCAAAAAAAATAAACACAGATTCGTAATCCTGGGAATTTTTCGGATTAGAAAGACGTCTCTCTGAATCGATAAAGAAGGATATAGAAGCATCTAAACGGATATAGATTGATATAGATCGTTATATACGAATTAGAAGGATATAGATGGATATAGAGCGTTTTGAGATGTAAAAGTCCGTCAAAAAAGGGAGATTTTCTCCATTATTACTGCACGTAACCCAAAATAAGCACAGATTCGTGATCCTGAGATACGCACAATTAAATGGGGAAGTGTCATTGCGTCATTGCTTTTATCAAGTCAATATTGAAAACAAATAAGATTAGTCGTTAGAATGAGAAGTGGGTGGTTGGGCGGGGATAGTACTTACTAAGATAAAATAGATTTTGGCAACTGAAGTACCCTCAAAAAAGGATTCAGCTGTATTTTTTTTGCAAAAAAATTAAATTTTGTGAACATTAAGTAAGTCAAAAAGGTGTAATTTTTCTACTCCAGCAGTCTAATTTGTATTTCATTAATTATTTATAATACTAATATTTTAATTTTTGTTATTTATCATTTATTTCCCTTCCTTTGCGACGTTTCGAGGGTAAAATATGAATATCAAGTTTTCCATATTAAAAAAAAAGTCACTTGGAACACCTCAGTTTTCTTAGAAGGTACGCCATTTGCTAAAATCAGTCTTATCTTAGCAAGTACTAGCCCCGCCCACCCGCCCTCTATTTTCTTAGAAGGTATGAAATTTGCCAAAATCAGTCTTATCTTAGCAAGTATTAGCCCCGCCCACCCGCCCCATATTTTCTGAGAAGGTATGACATTTGCCAAAATCAGTCTTATTTTAAATAGGTACTAGCCCCGCTTCCATGTCAAAGCCATATCTGGTTGAATGAAAAGTAGTTCTCATACTGAACAGAAATAAAATTAGTCATCAGATTGAGAAAAGGGCGGGTGGGCGGGGCTAGTATTTGCTAAGCCAAGATTGATTTTAGCCAATCACATATCCTCTCCATTCACGCGGATTTTTTTTCGCAAAAAATGAAATTTTAGTATTATTAGTTACGCGTTTCCATGGTAAAACATCAGTATCAAATTCTCCATATATTTTGCCCTTTCTTCTTAATATACGTAATCTTCCTTTCACAACAAGAAACTTAAAACATGTCCAAAACGGTACATTTTTCTAGGGACACAATTGTGATCCGGTCGGGTGGGCCGTGCTTAATCGTTGTTTTTTTTCTTTTTTTCAATATTGGTATATAGTTTTTGTGAACAATACTATAATAGTTCAGCATGTTTTCAGTTTCTTGTTGGGAAAAGAATACTTTGTATATTAAGAAAAAGTGTACAAAATATATGCCCCGCCCACCCACCCCCTCTCAATTGTAATGATTTTTCTTATTCATCGTGAGCCGAGAGCGAAGTTTAGCTGCAAAAACCTCATTTCTCTACAAAAAATTAAAATGTGAAATATGTTCTTGAAAGAGTAAAATAATGGAGAATAAGAAAATCATTACAATCGAGACAGGGTGGGTGGGTGGGGCTTATATTTTGCCCTTTCTTCTTAATGTACGCAGTCTTCCTTTCACAACAAGAAACTTAAAACATGTTCAAACCGTAATTTAATTTAACAATTTTGGGAAAAACGTAAATCGTTTCATGCAGAAGCGTTTCAAAAAATTGAACTTTTGGTAAAATTGCGCTTAAAAATCCAAAAAAAATCTGGTAGGTATATAATTTTTAGAAAAATTGTGTTTGCAAAGAAATGCAATTAAGGAAAATAATCCAAATTCGATTAGGCGACTAGTTTTGGAAACATTCGGGCCCAGAGTGAAATTATTTTAAATTCCGAAACAAATTGTAGAAATTTTCAAAGGAATGAAGCCGGAAAACGCTTGTGGAAATCGAAGTCAACAAGACATTTTTTCTGTTAATTTTCGACAGTGTTCGGAAGGCAGATATATATAGTGCGGGTTCTGGCTCACTTTTCGGAGTTGCTAAAGTTCCAGAAAATATACCATGATGTTTAAAGTTAAATTTTTGAGGAAATGAAAAAATTCGTTCGGTAATTTTAGGTGCTTGGAACGTAGTTAGATAGTGGGGGTTCTGGTTCACTTTTTATCGGAAAAATTTGGATTCGTGCTCAGGCTCGAGTTGTAACCCACTGCGTTTATGCGAATTCTGACTCGACTAGAAATCAGAAATATCAATTTTTAATTATACTATACATCATAAAAAAAACCTACAGCTTTGATGTTTCACACTTTTATATTCATACTTCAACAAAAAATGTGCATATAAATCCGCTTTTTAACTGAAATAGAGCTACCAGTTTGTGAAAGTAAGTATGATGGATTTTTCTTTGTTACCCAGTAGCGAACTACTGGGCGTGGATAGTCGGAGACTGTATCAAAGGAAATTCCGTCCTACATATTTACCATTTAAATGAACAATTACTTGTAAGTACAGGGTGTCCTAGATTTTGACAGGCAATAACTCGCTCATTAGCTGAACCTGACGCTATAGTTATTCCACTTTGTGATCGACCTTCAACTCCAGCTTGTTTTTCTCGTTGACGCGATTATCTCCCGCGTAACATTAAATCGGAGCACTCGCCTAAACCCCCGATCGACACAAACGATAGTAAATCTATCACCAGATGGCGATTTTCGGATCCGTTTCATCTAACCGCTCCTTCATTAGTCCGCTCCGATCGTTTTTTCTTGGCCCGATTCTTATCATTTTTCTTCTTATCAGGGACATTTAACAAAATTGTTTCCCGATTGTTTATTCCATTAGGGAGACGACCTTCGCCGAGCCATCAAGCGCACAATCGCCCCCTAATTAGTCCCTAATTATGACAACGCGAAATCCATACTGCGACTGATTTAATTCGCACCTACAAATCCCCTTTTATTACCAGCTCAAATCCGTAAAAATCTCCCAAAGCGAATCCTCTCCAACGAGATCTGATTATAATTAAGAGCTCTTGAAGTTAATTGCCTTTAATTGCATCAGCGATCAAGTTCAATTAACCATCAAGCCGTCTTTAATTGTGCAGGAAAAATTGAAAAAGTCGCTCTCGCGTCAGGAGCGTCTCGAGCCGATATTGTGTGCTGATCCTGATAAGGCGATATTGTTGCAGGTCGAAGTCACAACAAATCATTCACTTTGTTCCGGTTGGGTCAGAAATCGTCGGCGGGAGTGAAAGCTTTTGCTGAAACGGGTCGTTCTGACGTCCTGGAGGAGCAGAGCCAAGGCGAAGGAGGAATTTACGATGAGTTTAACGCTCCTCCCATAACAACAGGCGTCGGCAGGACCGAAGCGGAATTCTTCGTCGATGGAAACCATTCAAGGGTAAATTTTAAAGTGGCGTTTCTTTCAGATAGTTCTCCGCCGAAAAAAATAGAGTGGGAGCGCGTCGTTACGCGGGATGTTTGCACTGCTTTGAAGAACATTTGCTTTGTTTAGAGGAGTTGTTAGGTGTAGAGTAAGTGGTGTTTATTCGCGAGGGCTGGCAGGGGTGTGATGGAATTTTTATTGAAGGAGCAATCACAATTTACGTTTTAGTCGAAGGGCTACAATTTATTTGTACGGTCCAGGTGAGCATTTCGTGGATAATAATATTTATTGGTCGAAGATTATTTCGATAGAACTTCCTTCGCGTTTGAAGTACAGTCGAACAAAAACTAACTGACACTCCATATTTTTTTTGTGATTGTCTGTGTTAAAAATCCAGAAATTTGGCAACTGGGATAATCTAAAAATTTAAATATCGAACAACTGAAAATAGAAAACCGAAAAATTGGAAAATCTGATAATTGAAAAATGAAAAATTCAAAATAGATTCATAAAAAATTGTAAAATCGAAAAATGATTTAATTGTAGAAGAGAAAAATTACTAAAATGAAAAATAGAAAAATTGCAGATCTATAAAATTCAAAAATCAAAAACTTGAAAAATTGAAAATCGAAATTTTGAAGAATTAAAAATCAATAATAATTGAAAAATCAAAAGTTGAAAAAACAAAAATTTAAAACACGAAGAATTTTAAAAATGATTATGGAAAAATGATTCATTAAAGACCGGATAATTGAGAAATCGAAAAATTGTAAAAATATAAAACTAAAAAATTAAAAACCTGTAAAATTGACAAATTATTAAACTGTAAATTTAAAAATATACAAAAATATAAAATTGAGGAAATTTTGAAAAATTAAAAATCAAAAATTGGACACTCGAAACAAAAATTATAAAAATGTAAAACTGAATAATTAAAAAAGTGTAAAATCTAAAATGAGAAATTGTAAAATAATAAGTGGAAAACCAAAAACTTATTTTTTATTGAAGAATTAAATATCAAAAAATCGAATAATTGCCAAATTACGAAATTGAAAAATTATTAAACTGTTAAAAAGAAAAATTGCAAAATTATTAAATCGACAAATCCAACAACTGGAAAATGAAAAATAGGATTCCAAATCCGAAAAATTGAAAAATATAAAGTTGAAAATCAGATAATTGTTGAATAGAAAAAATTAAAATTGAAAAAATCAAAAAATTGTAAAATAATGAAATTGAAAAATGAAAAACTTGGAAAACTGGAAATTGAAATTTTGAAATTTTAATAATAAAAAAATTAGAAAACCGAAACAATGATATTCGGATAATTGAGATATGAAAAATTTAAATTGAAAAAACGAACAATTTTTAAAACGGAGAATTATAAAAATAGAAAATTGAAAAATATATCATGGAAAACCGGATAATTGTAAAATCGAAAAATTATCAAACTCTAAACCTGAAAAACCGCAAGAATATGAAATTGGAAATCTAACAATTTATAATGGAAAAATTGTGAATTGAGATCATTGTAAAATTGACAAATCGAAAAATTGCGAAATTATGAAACTGAAAAATCAAAAACTCGAAAAACGAAAAATTAAAATTTTGAAAAATTAAAATTCATAATTGAAAATCAAAAATTGAATAATTGAATAAACGAAAATTTTTAAAAGCGAAGATTTATAAAATTGAAAATTGAGAAATTGTTTCTTTAAAAAACGAGTAATTCAGACATCCAAAAATTGTAAAAATGCAAAATTGAATAATTAAGAAAGTGTAAAATATAAAGGTTGAAAAATCTGGATTTATACTGAAATATCAAAAATTTGCAAAATTAAAGACGATATTTTGAACAAAAATTAAAAAATCGCGAATTTGGAAAATATGATAATAATTGGAAAACTGATTCATTAAAAACTGAGAAATCGAAAAGTTGAGAAAATATAAAACTGAAAATTCAAAAAATTGCAAAATTACAAACCTGAAAAATTGTATAAATTTTAAATTGAAAAATCAGACAATTGTCAATTAGAAAAATTAGAGTTGAAAAATCTAAAATTTGTAAAATTATGAAATTCAGAAATCAAAAAACAAAATTGAAAATCGAAATTTTGAAAAGTTAAAAATCGAATGATTTTATTCGGATAATTGAGACACCAAAAATTGAATAACTAAAAATTCGAAAAATTCTAAAAACAAATAATTATAAAATTGAAAATTGAATAGCTGATTCACTAAAAACCGCACAATTGAGAAATCGATAAATTGTAAAAATATAAAACTTAATTAAAATAAAAAAATTATAAAATTAAAAAATTTAAAAATTGAGAAATTATATAAATGAAGAATCAAAAACTTGAAAAACCGAAACTTGAAATTTAAAAAAATTGGAAACTCGAAATAATAAAATTTGAGTAATTGAAAAATCAAAAATTGAGTACATAATTGAAAAGAAGAAGTTGTAAAATAAAAAACTAAAAATCAAAAATCTGTAAAATTAAAATGGATATTTTGAACAATTAAAAATCAACTGAAAAATTGTGAAATAACAAAACTGGAAAATTGATTAACTATAACTCGAAAATTAATAAATGTAAAAATAAAAATTTCCAACATTATTAAACTGAAAAATCCAAGGATTTCAAAACCCGAAAATTGAAAAATTTTGAAATTGAAAAATCTAATAATTGAAAAACTGCTTCATTAAAAATTGGCCAATTGAGAAATCAAATAATTGTAAAAATATAAAACTGAAAAATCAAGATTAAAAAAATGCAAAATCACAAAAATGAAAAATTATGTAATTTTAAAATTGAAAAATTGAAAACTCACACAACTATAAAACAGAAAAATAATTACAAGTGGAAAGATCGAAAAATTGTAAAATTAAAAATCGAAATTTTGAAATAATAAGTACTAGGAAATCAAAAATTAGAAAATGGAAAAACAAAGAAATTCGGATAACTGAAAAATCAAAACTGAAAAATCGGATACGTCTAAAACGAAAAATTGTAAAATAATTAAACTGAGAAATTAAAATTGAAATTTTTAATTAATAAATTTAAAAAAATAAAAAATTTATAAAACCACTGAATTGAAGAATTGGATAATGTAAAATTCAAAAATTCTTGAACTATAAAATGAAAAACTGCAAAATTATAGAATAGAAACATTACAAAATCGTAAAATTGAAACATCATTAAGTTGAAAACTCAAGAAATCGAAAAATCTGAGAACTAAAAAATAAAAAATTGAAGAATCTAAATATTTTGAAACCTAAAAATCCGAAAATTCAAATATCAAACCATTGATTCATTAAAAACTGGATAATTGAGGAATCGAAAAGTAGTAAAAATATAAACCTGAAAAATCAAAAAATTGCAAAATTACGAAAGTGAAAAATCGAAAAACTGAAAAATTATGAAATTGAAAAATCAAAAATTTGGGAAATTGGAAATCGAAATTTTGAAATATAAAAATCAAAAATTGAAAAATCGGATACATTTAAAACCGAGAATTTGTAAAACCATTAAACTGAAAAATAGAACATATAATTATGATACCGAAAAACTATTAAACTGTAAAAATGGAAAACTGCAAAATTATGGAATCGAAACGTTACAACGTAAAATTGATACATCATTGAGTTGAAAAATTAAGAAATTGAAAAATTTGATAACTGCAAAATCAAAATTATTAAATTCAAAAATCGAACAATTGGAAAATGAAAAATCGAAGGATTGAGAAACCGAAAAATTGAAAAATCAACAATTTTTAAATAGAAAAATTATAAAATTGAAAAATCGAAAAATGGTAAAATTATGAAAATGACAAATCAACAATTGGGAAAATTGGAAATATAAATTTTGAAATATGCATTAAAAATGAAAAATTGCAAAATCGGTTACATGTAAAAACGAAAAATTGCAGGATAATTACACCGAAAAATCAAAAACTTGAAAAATTAAAATTGAAATTTTGAACAATTGAAGTTCAAAAAATTGACAATTTGTAAAACTTCGAAATTGAAAACTTGAACAACTAATTGTGAAATCGAAAAATTATTATTATCCTGTAACAACAAAACTGAAAAAATTATAGAATATAATAATTGAAAAATCGAAAAGGTACAAAATCGTAAAATTGAAACATCATTAAGTTGAAAATCAAGAATTCCGAAACCGAAAAATGGAAAAATCAAACAATTTTAAAATAGAAAAACTATAAATTGAAAAATCAAAAACTAGGGAAAAGTGGAAATCAAAATTTTAAAATATGCATTAAAAATCAAAAATTACAAAATCGGATACATTTAAAAACGAAAAATTGTAGGATAATTACACCGAAAAATCAAAAACTTGTGAAATCGAAAAATTATTATTATACTGTAAAAACAAAACTGAAAAAATTATAGAATATAATAATTGAAAAACCGAAATGTTACAAAATCATAAAATTGAAATATCATAAGTTGAAAAATTAAGAAATTTAAAAATCTGGTAACTGTAAAATCAAAATTATTAAATTAAAAATCGAAAAATCGAAAAATGAAAAATCAAAGAATTCCGAAACCGAAAAATGTAAAAATGAAACAATTTTAAAATATGGGAACTATAAATTGAAAAATCAAAAACTGGGAAAATTGGAAATCGAAATTTTGAAATATGTATTAAAAATCAAAAATTTCAAAAATGGATGCATATAAAAACGAAAAATTCTAGAATAATTACAGTGAAAAATCAAAAAATTGAAATTTTGAACAATTGAAGCTCAAAAAATAGAAAATTTATAAAACTACGAAATTGAAAAATTGGACAAGTAATTGCGAAATCGTAAAACTATTAAACTATAAAAAAGAAAAACTGCAAAATTATAGAATATAATTCAAAAAATTTTGAAATATGCATTACAAAATCGGATACATTTAAAAACGAAAGTAGTTGTAGTATAATTACACTGAAAAATCAAAAACTTCAAAAATTAAAAATGAAATTTTGATCAATTGAAGTTGA